TGGGTTTTGCCTTCTCATGAAGTGCCTAAAGCATGACAGCCTTAGTCTCAGCACTGTTTCTTTCAAAGAAAATTCTGGCTTGATTTGATCTGGAACTGATTGTTTGTCTCTCGGGCCAGGGTTTCCCAAAAACTGTCTTTCAGCACCATGTTTTTAATGTATCAGTCCCCTGTCCCCCCCTCCCAGCTTTCATACCCATACATAGTGAATACAATAGGGGAGATGATCTCGGCCTTGGACTCCAGTGAAACATCCTTACACTTGATTATCTTTTCTAGTTCCTTCATTGCTGCCCTTCCAAGCATCAGTTTTGTCAGTTTTCTTCCAATATCTTGACTGTAGTCTCGCTTTGAAATGCTGACTGAGCTGAGTTATGCAAAATCTTTCACAATCTCTTCATTATTAACAGTAAAGTTCTGTAATTCTTCTGTGGTCATGATTTTTGTTTCCTTAATATTGAACTGCCATCCCTCTTTTGAGCCTTCCTCTTTCAGGAGTTGTTTCATCAGGAGTCTGTTCATCAGGGCCATTGTTTTCTTTTTCATATTTGTTACCATATTCTTATTAGGATTTGGACTTATTCAATCTCTGTAGGTTGGAATAGTTCTGTTAGTACTGTTTCTACTCTTGGAGCTTTATTCCTTCCAAGTGCTTTCAAAGCAGCTTTCTCTTCACTTTCTAATATTGCATGTTCTTCCTCATATGGTTCTTCTATGAAGGAGTCTGTCATCCATTAATCTCTTATGTAAAGTACTTCCACATATCATTTCCATTTCTCTTTATTTATCCTGGTCACATACATTCCTCTGTTGTCTTTCAGTATTCCTAAATCTAGGTTTACATTTGTCTGATTTCTTGGATCGTTTGGAAGAAGTCTCTTGTTTTTCTTCATATATATATATATATATATTCAAAAACAGAAATAAAAGTTGACCATCTCCTCTGAGATAACTCCAGAAGATGGTGGCATCTGTATTATCCTATGGCTGCTCAGTCACTATATGAAAAACCATAGAATTTCTTTGCCCAAGAATATTCTGTTGGGTTTTTTCAACATATATAAAATGGCCCGTGTTGTTATGCTACAGATAGTTTCTTGTTTCAATGGCATTAATATGATGTTAACATTGCAAGGGCATCTTTTCTAAAATATTGCTCTCAGCTGTTCCTAAGACAGGAGTTGGCATAATAGCGCCTCTGGACACTTTTCTTAACATCCACCAAGGTGTCCTACCCTTCCCATTTTGAAAATGAAATACGTATTGGTGGGTGGGGTTGCTGTGAAATAGGTTTTTTGTTGCTGCTGGGAACTGTTTGTGCAAAGCAGTTGTTTGGTGTGCTGGAGCTTAGAAGCTAACCTCTGCTTTTTGGCAGTCTTTTGGGCAACTTACTTGCTCTTTGCCATGGCTTGCAAGGGCACCCAAGCAGTTGCTCAAACAGCTAAATATGTCCACAGCCCCAAGTGGTTCCAGATTCTGACTCCAAGGCATCTTCCTGTTTATTGCAACATTTTAAAATTACCAAATGGCTGTTCTGGTAATTATACCCTCCTATGTTTTCATGTCCCCAAATGTCAGTGTCCCACCACTAACAACAAGGTGTAAACTAGGATCTTTGGCAATTGTGAAATAAGCAAGAGTCATGTATTTTAGTTGATGACAATCCTCTTAGCCTAGTCACAACTTGTGCTGCTATAAGCCAGTTTGTTTTATTGCAGTTAGACTTTTTCCCAGCCACCACCTTGTCAAGAGGTATATGTTTAGGTGTGAAACAAGTTTTCAGAAACTCTCTTCAGTATATTTGCTTTTCAGTACTTTATTACAGTCCCCACCTTGAAGAGAACAATTCTGAGTCACGTCTTCATAGGCCTTTGTGTATGTGCATGTGTCTGTGTGTTTTAATAATTTCTAAGAAATGGTTTTGATGTGATGCCCAGGAAATGAACCTAACATTGTGAGGGCAGTGGAAGTTCACAATTTATAGGTACTACAATGTTTTACAAGAGTAACATTGTGCAAAGGCAGACAGATACAACCTGCGTAACCAGTTTGAATTATCAGAATGCTGCTTTCTTTTTAATTTTTCGTTATGAAAAAATATAGATAAAGACCTCATTCAAAATCATCTACATGTTTAGCTGGAAGTAAGCTTGTATGGGATTACATCCAGAATCAGTCAAGTTTGAATAAAATGACTCTGAACATAAAGCTAGATTTTTAAAAGATTGAATATACCCGCAGTGGTCACAAAATAGGTTAACAGTAGGACAAAGTCATGTCAAAATTCCCCGTTTTTTGTGGCAAACATATGGATATTCAGGAGAGAAAAAAAGCCTGAAAGGATTTGATTCTTTTTGTCTGGGACTAAATAGAGACAATAGTTTCCTGTTCTGCTACAGATGCTAATTTACTCAACCTGTCTAAGATGGTATCAGTGGTGATTACTGATGTGAATGATCCCTGTGCTTACATTGGAGCTGTAGCTGAATTGTCAGACTATACCTTTGCTTTCCATTGCCATCTAACACCACATTTTGCAATTTCTTTTCTGTGTACTTGTGAGTATATAATATATTCACAAATCTTCCAGTGCACCTTAAAGCATGACATCAGTGATTGTGCCATTATGAATCTACAGTGATTTTATATGTGTTTGCATCTCTTCTATTCAAATAATTCAGTTGTGAACAATTGCCTATATAATGGTGGGTAGCCCTGGAATATTGGATTACTACTCTGAGGGCCATGTCCTCTGATTAGCTTTGAAAGACCTTCCTTTGATGACTTGCATACTTCTTGAAAATTAAATAGGAAGAATAACAATGGATGAAAAGGGGGTGGGGTGGGTGAGAGAAAGAACCTTTGCGTGATTGTCTCATGCATGGAGGAGTCAGGAGACAATCCTGCAGTAACAGTTTCTGACCACTCCTCTTAGGTCAGTGGTGGAAAGAGGTATGGATGCAAGTCCCATGGGAACCCTACAGTGCACACACAGCCCTGTTGAACAGCAGTGGTGAAACAGTGTCCACAACAGCTTGGGCTAGAATAACTATGGGTCTGGAAAAAGCTGCAAGACTTTTTGTTGCTTTTTGCTGCAACAGAACTAGTTACCCTCCGAAGATTAAATTGCCTGATGAATTTAACACATTTAGGGTGCAATCTTATGCACATTTATACAGGAAAAAGAACTTACTATCCCCAGCATTTACCAGTTAGCATGCCGGATTAAGGAATGCTGGGAGTTGTAGAACTTTTTTTGTATAAGCAAGCATAGGATTTTGCCATTCCTTGTTCTGCAGAGTGGTCCATATTGTCTCCTTCCTGCTGTACTTTTTCTAGGCCAGAATCCAGCATAATGCGCAGATGTGGAAAGCCAAGTCATGGGGAAAATAGTCTTGCTGTGGATAGACTAGCAGGGTCTGGTGATTTCATGTGGTGCCGGAGTGAGTGGCGTCACATGGTGCCATTTCTTGAAAGACTGTGAAAAGCAGAATGAACCAAGCAAGGGTAGGGCCTAAAATGTCAAGACCCAGGAAAATGGGGAGGGGGGTTGATATTGCTTCCTGATTTGGGGGAGTTTCAGAACAGTCACTGAAATATTTATATAAACTCCAAGATTTAAAGAAATGTTACTGCTGAGAGCAGTGCAGGTCTGTTTTCCAGATTTCACAGATTAGACTAGTGATATGTTAATACCCAAGTTTCCTCTGTTCAGCCATCACCCTACACATTGCTGAAGTGTCTACTTCTGTTCCTGTTCTTTTTATTATTTTGCAGCAGCTTATTCTGGGCGGATGCAACATCCAAAGGTTTTTGTTCATCTGACTAAAGAGCTACATGAAAAACATAATTATCCTACAATGCATTATCTTCTGCACAGTGCATGACATGGGAGGATGTATGTGGCATTCTGCTTTCAGGGTCATGTGTGGTCAGCTATATGTTCAGAATAACCAGCCAATTTGCCTGCCCATCCCCATATAACATCTGCCTTCAGACCTGCAGCAGCATTGTCCCGTTTTACTCCTGAAGTTCACTATGATCATTTCTATATTTGAATGATATACCAGGAAACAAAGTAGTCATGCATGGTCAGGAATGAAATTTGAAGTTGGCTATTATGGCATAGACTCTCATGGGTGCCTTTGTTGCTCATATGAAAATGTATCCCACAGCACTCAGATCACGTTCGCATTTGCCCCAGAATGGCAATAAAGAGTTATTTTCTCCTCAAGAAGACTGACATTACTTTTTTCACTAAGAAAATCTCCACATAATTGCTCCCTGAAAAAAAGATATGGATCCTCTCTTTCTCTTCCCCAGCCCTCACCAACATTTATTTGCATTTACCCCATGACAAAGTTTAATTAGAAAGGGTCTTTTTTTAAAAATATGAAAGTGCAAATGGAACAAAAAATATGGATCAGACAAGCTTGCCCTGTTAAGGATTATCCAGCGTGTCATCGTGGTGCCAACATTCTCTGAAATCCCAGCAACAAGAGGCAGCTCTCCCTACCTAATGTGATTTTACTGCTTTGAATCTCTGCCCAGATCCTCACAGCATTCCATGCTACCACATCATCACAAGGGAATGGACTTTATCTTGAAAACTTTAAGAGTGTTTGTTTTAAAGATGATTTACCACACTTGACAATGACTAGATTTCCTAAATTAAGCCAGAGCTATTGTTGCTATTGTGCATCGCACGTTATGCAGAGAAATGCCTAGCAGCTAGACCTCTAAATCTCTCAGTATGGCTCAAGTTGCTCATAAAACAAGCAGCAGAGCCTTGGGTTCTTATTGGATTTCTGCTGCTCTGGATGTCAGCGTGGCTTGGAAAGCACCTGATTGAAGGGGTGAGGAAAACAGAACTGGCGCCCAGCTGGTTAAGACTTTAGCACATCTCTGGGCCTAGAAATTATCTGACTTTCTGTCTCTTATTTAGTCTGCCTGAAGAAGAAATGCATAGCTAGCAAAAGTTGCTCAAATATGTGGTAAAACCAGTGATAAAGGGTTTGTTTGTGTTTTTGGGGTTGGGCTTTTTTTTTGGAACTTTATATAAATATTTCAGCTTGAAACAGGAAGAACTGTGTCCACTGGTAATGTATCCTAAAGAAAAGTGAGGCTAAATGAATCTAAATTATTATATATACATGTGTATACATACTCATGCAAAGCATTGTATCACATAACTTCATTGATCATTGCATAGACCTGCAGGGAGACTGAACCTTAATAAGTATGAGATTTGACAAACTTGGTCCAGATAAGCATATATAGCAAAATCATTTTTTGTTTAACATTATTTGGTTTGCAAGAGGAAGAGCTATGAAATATTTACATAGGAATGCATTTATAACATGGCCAAAAATAAACAAATTAACCTGATGAGATGTAAAGTTTTTATGAAAGTATTTACCCTACAACCCTACGCACACTTCTTTAGGAATAAGCTCCATTGAATTCAATGGTTCATGTATATTAGGCTGAAATTCTATACACATTTACTAGGAAGTAAATTCAGTGGGACTAATAAATTAAGATGTTCATACAGTGACATAAAAAACACTATTAAATGGAATTAAATTAAATGAATAAAAAACAGGAGACTCTTCCTAGGATAGAAGATTGAGATACTTTGCATAAACCTTATGAATCAATGTCTTACTTTGGGGCAGGGTGGTAAACCAAATTCCTTATCTTTAGTTAGACTTCCTTATTTTGGCAACATTACCATTATATTATTTTTCTGAAGGCATAAAGGTTCCTTCCTGTAGGACTTGGCTGTCTTTACAAAATCAAAAAGTAGCACATCAAAAGTAATAGTAGGTGACAAATGTTAATATTTGTCAAAGGCTCCTGCTTTGATCCTTCATTTCTATTTTTTAAGAGCTTGACAAATGTGGCTTGTGGTTTGGCTTCAAACATCTTCTGTCCCCCAAAGTGGTTTGCTTGGTGTCTAATCCATTTGATCCTCCACTTGTTTTCTCTGCAGTTCTGGAAAAAAGTGGGTAGCGACTGACTTCCAAATATTGTTCATGTTGAATAACTGTGGTTAAAGAACAAAAAGAGTTTATTCTGTTACTGTTCTCAAGGCTTTGGTTTGTTTCTTCTGGGTTTCTTTCAGCAGCTTTGAAAGAGAGATGTTTGCTATCTTTTGATGGTGATTTTCTTTTTGTAGTCTTTTTTGTACTGCATCGATTAATATTTTGTTGCCTTATTATCAGTGGTGAAAATGGGTAGGAATGACTAGTTGATATGGTAGTAAAAACCCATCATGTCATCAGACCAGATGTTTGAGGCAGAAGTCCAAGGCCCTGCTCAGAAAAATGAGCAGGACGGTTTCAAATGCAGCAGGCCTAGTGTAGAACATATTGAAGTAGGTTAAATAACATACAGTGACCTGTTTTGCATGAACAAAACAGCCCACTGTGGCTTATTTAAGCCAGGTTAGGTTAAGTGTATGAGCTACCTGTACAAGCCCCAGCTATAGCTTGCTGTAATGTCTACTTTTGGGCAGCCATAGTTGTTTAAGGGTTAAGCAATGTTCAAATGACTCATGATCTGCTGGAAGGTTATCTGAGGGTTATTAACCCTCAGGTAATCCCTGCCTCATGAGTTCTGATGACACAACAAACTACAGCAACCTGCTCCCCCTCCTCTGAACAGGAGTTGGACTTTCAAAAGGGCACCCACAGGGACTGCAACCCACTACGACCTAAATAAGCCATAGTGGGCTATAATGATCATGCAAACCTGTTCCTCATCACTGAGAAACCTTACCCCATAAGTCTATTAAATCCAAAATATATAATTACCTTACTGGGTAAAATATCTTACCCAGAAATATATTCAGCATATTCAACATTAGCCTTAGAATTGCTTTTGCTCGGGTTCATGGGAGTAGGGCTCCAGTGCTTTAGAGAGGAAAACAGTGGAAAATGCATGCATGCTTCTTTCAAGTTTGACATGCACTGCATGTATATGTATGTGAGCATTCATGCTTTGGTTGTCCCTAACCATAGTCCTGTAGATATCTGGTCAGATGTGAAGCCCATTCAAAGGGACTTACTCCCATGTAACTATGTGAATGGCATTCATGCAGTACAATTCTATTATTATTTACATGAAAGCAAATCCCACTGGGTGCAAGTGTGCTTAGAACTACCAATTTTTAAAACATGTGTTGTAGACCATTTTTGCATACTGTAGTGTAAATAGCATATCTGTTTAGCATTCATTTTAGTAATTCCAAGCAATCTTTATTTTTCATATGCAAAATATTAATCTCATTTATTCTCACAAGGCCTTTCACTATTATTGTTTTATCTATATGTATATTTTATTTATTTAATAAGTTTTCCTTCCATTTCAGGTAAAAAAGATTCCCAATGTAGCTTACAAATTAATATAAGGAGCATTAAATTTAAATTCTCAAAGCTGCCAAACAGACTGAATATAAAGCAGGAAAAGCAAGTGACAATTTAATTAAAATAAACAATGCAATAATAATAAAAATCAATAGGAAATTCCATGAAAACACAAGGGTAGCTTACAATCTACTAAAAGCAAGGACAAAGAGAACCATTTTCTACTGGCACCTGAAGCTTAAAAGGGAGGCACCATCTCTGAGGATGGAGTTTGTGGTGGGGACACTCCACAGAAATGGGCCTATTCCCTATTACTATTCACCTTTCCTCTGAAGTGTGGGCACCTTGAGAAAAGTCTCTGAAGAGCTTAAATGATTATTGGTAGCATTTATATTTTTGAATGACCAGAATGAGAACTGAAGAGGATGCTGATTTGCATAACATATGCGTAGGTGCAAATTTAGAAATAATTACGATTGAAATAGAAATATAGTATATTTCAATGTATAACGCTCGTTTCACCAAAGTGTGGAAGACTGTGACCAGGTCCCCTGTGTGCTTTGCTCTGCTGTCCAGGTGTTGTTAACAGAAAGGTCAAGGCTCATATCTTCTTTCCGATGGATCTTTATCTTTAAGATGTCTTGGGCTGGGCAGCCTCAAAAAAAGAAGATGGCAACCTGACAGTCATTCAAATATATACCCTCTGCAAAAGAGACATATGACCTCCCTATGTCTTTGAAGGTAAACCATGGAATTGCTAATTTTCTGCCTTTTTTTTAAGTGTTGGAGATGTAATCAGCAGAATAGAAACATATTTCAGAGCAAGCTCATTGGTTACTTTTTCTTAGAAAGTGGGACCTTGGTTGGTACTCAGAAAGCTGTTCATGGGTTCACCATTATGCCTGCCCTTCTTGTAGTGGTCCAATTTAACCTATCGTCCATATGCAAATACTGGGGGAAGACAGACTAAAAATCTATGGAATAACAAGAGGGGAGTTCAAAGGACTCCTTCCCATAATCACACACTCACACATACTGTTCCTAAAGTTATCTACCAAAAAACCATGTGAGAGTAAAGTTGCCCATATACAAAACATTCATGTCATATTCCTGGTGGCCGACAGCACTGCAAACATGGTGCCCATTGGTTCTGATCCTCTGGTGCCTGATTTGGAGAAAGAAACCAGTGGGGCCTCATAGAAAGCACATTCTAGGACTTGCATTAAATAAGAGGCATTGATTCTCAGAGCCTTGGACCAAATCTGGCCTCATTGGGGACTCAGATGGAATCCTGGCTGCACCCTGTTCCCCCAACATCAATCATTTCCACCTTCATGAACTTCCCCAAGGATCCTGCTCTAATTCCCCTCCCCACATTAAGGAGATGGGAGGCTAGCCTGTGAAGCTGCTGAGCTCTCTGTATTTCCTCTGGCAAGTTAGAGGACAAAAGGAAGAATCTGCCCATGAGAGATTTTGGGCAGTGATCCATTTGGCATCCTTCCTGGAAAGTTACTTGAAGCATTGGAGGTAACTGGATGAGGGAACTGTTTGAGTAGTGAGGAGCAGAATACAAGCAGGCCTGGATCTGGAGGGAGGCCAAGGGGCAGTTGAGCCCCAGCAGCCAATTTATTTATTTTTTAGAATTTGCCTAAACATGTGCATAAATTGCCTAAATGGCCTTTGGCCCCAACCCTGGATCAAAGCCTATACACAACTGGGTGTGTGTGGAAGGAAAGGTAGAATGGGAGAAACATGTTAGCAAGATCTGGAAAATTGTGGGAAGGGAAGAAGACATAGATATGGCTCAGACAATATGACAATCCAGTGTAGAAGTTGAAATGAATTGCTTCCAAATCATAGGCTGCCATGTTATGTGAATCCATCCATGCTAACAAACCATGGTTTGTTAACCCATAGTTCATAACACCCCCCCACAAAAAAACAAAAAACAAAACAAAACCATATATTACCTTTGTGCTTGCTCATGGTTAACAAATCATGGTTTGTCAGTGCAGCTGAGTTCATACAACACAGCTGAGTTCATACAACACAATTCAATAACATACCTTGGGTTGTTGTAATTTCCCAAGGGCTTCTCCTTCCTTTGCCTCCTTCCCTGTGCTGCTCCTTGAGAGTTCCTTTTGTTAGGAATATAAAATATAATTTGATTATGCTAGTAGGTCACAGAGAGAAAGGAAGCGTAAGAAAGCCAAATCAGCCTTCCCATCTATAATAATTCTGTGTTTGCTGCACATGAAAGGCAGGTGGTCCCTAGCTTTGGACAATCCAGCACACTAAAAAAGGCTCTCACTAACATTTGGAGAGTGGTTTAGTTTTAGGGAATGCCTGCTTAGTGAGGATAATGATTCCTGTTGGGAGAGACAATGCAATTCCGAAACACCAAAAATTAGAAAGGGTATAGAGTTAAAAGAGATTTAGTTTAGGTTCATTTTGTAGAAATGACTCTTCAGGTATAAAGGAGTATCTTACCTTTAGCAGATACTACCAGAGTACTCTAAAGAAGTATAAGTAGTGACTGGCACTACCATTAGGTGGCTGCCTTGGGCAGCTGATTTTGGATTTCATGAAAGAGCAGCAAATTGTCACTCAGTTAATTAACTTGATGGGTTTGATCCCACATTGTCATTTTGGGAGTAGAACAAATGCTACATGTGGAATGAGAATTCCCCAGCTTTTCCTCCTCTGTGAGGTCCCCCCTCATGGCCCTTCAAGTCTGCCTTGGAAGACTGGGAGACCCTCTGGAGTAGATATGGAGGGTACCTGTGGAAATGCAGGAGCAGGAGAAGAAGGGGGTCCCCCTGAGAATCATTCTGCTGGCAAAATGACAGTCTTGCTTCCAACTCATCATTCTTGCTTGTGGGGGTTTCTGCCCCAGATGCCAAAATAAATTGGCCAGCCTTGAGTATAATTTGTATTTGTTACTGAAGCAGCAAAAACGTCTTGGGTCAACACTATGTTGCTTGCATAATTAACAGATAAACTATACCGTAAAGCAGCCTTCCCCAACCTGGTGCCCTTCATATGTGTTGACTATGTTAAGTTGGGTGATAGAAGTGGTAGTCTCCTTTGAGAATGGTTTGATGTTGGCGAAATGCAAGGAGTTGCGAACTAGCAGGATGGGGCTTTAACGTGCATAATTCAGTACCCTTGTTTACGAGGTGTGACTCTTCCTTCCCTGGACTCAGTGTCACACCAGGGCTGCACCCATTGACATTAATCATCAACTTATTCTCCTGAGTAGCTCTATTAGAGACAGAAAGGAAGGATTTCTTTTGCTTGTCCTGCTCTTAGGGTTATCGTCCTCTTCTTTTTCTTGAAAAGGATAAGCGCTTCAGGTCCTATTGTTCTTCTTCCAAGATTACTGGAGTGGGCACTTGAGTCATCCACAGAGTCACCTTTTATGCTATTGTGTGTGCAACCCGAAATGCAAATGCGGTTTGCTCAGTGGTGATAGTCAATCTGGCTACACTTCAAAAGACTGAGATGAGTCTGCCAGCTAGCCTTTCAGCTTCACTTACATCCATCTTTTCTATCTCCAGTGCTTTCTAGGTCCATGTCTTCTTCAGCACAATAATCACAGGATCGGGACATACATTTTGTCTTCATGGACTGTGTGTACTTGGGAGTAACTTATGGAAATGTGTTTCAGACTGGCTGGTTTTCTTGCTTGCTTACTTGCTTGCTTGCTTTCCTTCCTTGGAAAAAGTAATTTGCATTAAATCCTAATAGTAGAACCCAACCCACACCACATTCTGTGATCTGTCCACTCCCTCCACTAATTTTTATACTCTATGTATTTCTAGATTTCAGTCCCATTGCCAGGGTGATTTCCAAAACAAACAAACAAGCAAACAACACAATACAGTCAATATAAAGCATAAAATCTGCTTAAAAGTCACCAAATAATAAAAAGCAGGCTCACACGATCAATAGGATTAACACTGGATCTGAAAAGCTTGGGAAAAGAAAAAGGTCTCTGTCTGGTGCCAAAAGGACAATAAAGTAGGGACCTGGAGGACCTTTCAGGGCCACTCTCTCTGCATAGCACCCTACTCCCTGGTGTGACATCATCCCTGGCTCCTCATTCCCCCAGGGGTGGTTGCCTACTACCTGTATGTTTGAGGATTCATCCCTTGGGGGAGAAAATGGGGTGCATCTCAAGTCATTCAGCTCATGTAGGGAGTTGCATTAGGACTCTGTTTCCAGTGACTCTTTGTTCTGTTCTGTGCCCTGGCACTGGTCCTGCAGAGAAGAATGAATCATGGGTGTCTTATTTTAATCTCAGAACAGGGAGGAAAGGCTTATCCTTTTACTCTCCAGCTGCAATCAAAATAGAAATCTCCCTCCTCACAACTGAGCTCCCCATCTGTATGCTTGACTGACTTGCACTAATGCAGATGAGAGAATATTGGGACACTGGGACTGGCCCTGTAAGAATTTTCTCAAGGCATTGAACTTTATTGTGTGCTTCAGCAGGCGGGACAATCCTATGCATATATTTACCTGGTGTAATCTGCATAGGACTATAGCCTTCTCATCCCTTTATTTTATTCACGTTGGCTTGTATGGTTTTGCCTGCCTAGGCATTTTCCTTGCCTTGACCCTTTTATTTACCAGAGCTTAGTGATCATTGATTTTCCTTCCGTATTATTTTTTCTTGTATGGTTGTTATTGTGGTTTGTACAGTTTATTGTTCAGTTTGAAGGGGTTGCTGATTACTGCTTTGCTTAATGGCTGTTGAAATTGCCTTGGGTTAGTTTTATAGGTGTGTTGAGGCTGTTTTTATCTGTTAATGGCTGTTTTACTGATACTGTATTTCTGGAGCTTTGTTTTATCACTTTTGTTCAGCCAGTGCTAGGATGGCCATGTGTCTTCTTTTAAGGCCATATTCTATTTGAAGGACTGCCAGAGAACCATCCTTTATTTGAAAGACAGCTCTACCCAATCCCAGATTAAAGTTGAACAACCATAAGAAAGGAGGGCAGAGGCTTTGGAATTGCCCATCAAGGGCTAGAATCGGAAAAGCAGATCAACAGGCAGCATACAGTAGTGACAATATTTATATACTGTAGTGATAATTATTTCTAAAAGTGCATGTATGTGTATGCATTAGCATATGCAATATTTATTCAAAGTAATTTTTATTAATTTACTCCTCTTTTGCTATCTATTTCAGTTGAAACATTTCCTCTTTTTTATTTTCAAGTGGCCTTCGCACTGAATATTAACTTGCAGCAAAACAAAAAAAAAAACAAAAAAAAAAAACAGAGAACTATGTGCATATATCCATTTATCTAAAATGTCATGAAATTCTGGAAGAATATTGGGAAAGTAGAAGAAATTATGTCTTATATGTCATGTTGAGATGATTTGCTCTTTTGAAATGACTTCTTATGCCTTCATTTTGCTCTTTTCTTCTCTCCCTGTCTTGCTGTTGACAGGTTTTCATCTTCAGAGACCTGTTGCCCTTTTATGGCTGTTCCTTCAGGAAAAACAAGCGGATTTAGCTCTCAGATGCACCCATGGAAAAAAAGGGATGACTCCTGACAGAAAGGAGAATGAAATCAGGCCATGGAATTACTGCTCAAGTGGCTCAGCATAACCTTTCTTAGGTTGTCCTACCAATGACCCCTTCCTTAAACAGTCAGAAATCATGCTCCATAAGAGTGGGAGGCAATGCAGCTTCCATCCTGGCCTATTTGTGGACCTCTCCTCTGCAGAAATTGCCATCAGGAACATATTGCTCTGAGTTATATACAGTGGTTTTATGATGCAAAGTCCAGTTTTTATTAATCACATGGTTCAAAGATCAGTTAGAGGAGTAACTGGAAATCAAATTCCTAAGACAGTTTCTTGAATCTACAGTGTGTGTGTGTGTGTGCATACACACACACACACACACACACACACACACTCTCTAATCTCTGATTTGGAGAGGCAGTGTATGCAGGGGAATACAAGTTATTCATTTCAGTTAATTTCTATGCTGCCAATAGCCAACTGCTCTCTGGGTAGTTTACAACAGTTTATTATTATTATTATTATTATTATTATTATTATTATAACATTTCTATGCCGAATTACTTGAGAGGGTTATCGTTAAAAGATACAAATCCATTTATAGTAGTAACTGTTAATTGCAGTTGTAGTTAATGGATGGAAAATCAAAATGGCTTATGCTCTTTGACAGTATCCTAATGGCACCATTGCACTAACAGGACACTTAAAAATTGGCAGGTATAAGATGTAAAAGGTAAGTGTTGCAAGGAGGAGAAATGCAATAGGACTTATCTTTGAAAGCAATGGGAAGATTATGGGATGGTGTGCTCTACTTCATTGCTTATAGGGATCCATTTTCTAGTAATCTGTCTAGAATTTGGCAAGCCTGATGACTTGAGCGGGTCAAAGAAGACCGGGAAATTCCATGCCACTTGGATGGAAACTTCAAAGTTGCAGACAGGGATAGTGGCAAGGGCCCTGCTGGGGCCCACTCACAAGGGTCCCTGGACTTGTCCTGCCTCCTCATTGCAACTTGCTTGTTCACCTTCGTCTTCCTCTGGCCCAGACAACAGTGGTGGTGGTAAGGAGGAGCAGCAGATGCCATGGCCTCTTTGCTTGCTACCTGTCAAACATGCAAATAGGAGCCGTTGTGACTAAGAGGATGAGGATGAGCTGTTGTTGCTTGAGACCATTGGTGGTGAGAATTCACTGGAAGAGGAGGTTCACTTGTCCAAGAGCTTTCAAAAACCGGTGTGAGGGCCTGATTGCTCCTGCTGAAGTAAATACTCATTGTTGTGATACCCAAAACCAACTTGGTTGTTGGGTAACTAGCAATCCAGAGCTGGAACTGTACCTCAGCTTAATTTACCTCACAGGGTTCTGTCAATAAAGATATAACTGGGATAAACTATGTTTACCACTCTTTAGGCCTTGTAAGGAGGCTGAATGAAAAAGAAATAACTGTTTGAATGTTGCTTCATTTTTTCCAGTGAAATGCCTTTTGCATAGACAGACAGCTTTCCTGTCTAGTGAGGTAAGTTCATTTTCACATTATGCTTTATGGGATATCCTTTATTTACCCAATGTTTTCCTGTCCACTCTTTTCAAGCTATGTATCTTGCATATTTTATATACACAAAGGTGACTTTTCCTTCCTTTAATGACCATGGCTTATCAGTGCAGGCAACTGATACTGGACTCATAAATATGTCATTCTCCCTGCTTTCCTCACAGTCCTCTCCTTTACAGGATTCCTCCTTCTGCCCTCTCACCCCCTTCCCACTGTACCCACCCCCACCCCATCCATTCCCATCTTCTTTGATTCTGCAGAGCTACCCATTGGCTGATCTAAATAAATCACCAATGTAAACTATCAGCAGAAGTCATTGTAGCCAAAAGTACAAAGGGAATATAAATACAAGGTCAGTGGAGCCAGTGCCTTCCGATTCTAATTAAATATTTCCTGTAAGTCAATGCCAACTGTGCATCTTGGAAGAACATTTGGAGGCAGGAGCCTGAACTCCCAAGGACCCTGTTGCCTCAAAACCTGTTTCCTGCTTAGCCACATTTAACAAGGAGAACCAAACATACACCATCAGTAGCAGAAGTCAATGTAAGCAGTTGTACTGTGTAGAGATGCTTGGTTTCCTCCCCACAATAGCCATGTGGACCCAGCCAGCCTGTCTTTCTGGCATGTGGGTGTTAGTTTGCATGACTCAGTCTCCCTTTCCTCCCACCTTCCACTTGGAATAGATGTTTGTTGTTGTTTTGAGGGGACCTGATTTTCAAGAGGACATGGAAGCATAGTTGTTGGGGTGGTGGGGTTGAGAACATGCTTTGCAGGCCAAAGGCTCCACATTCAATCCTTGCCTTCTCCAGGTAGGGCTGAAAAGGGTTCCTATTTGAAAATGTGTAGAACCACTGCCAGTCAGTATGTAGACCAGCCTTCCCCAAGCAGGTTAACTCCAGGTGCTGTGGGCTCCAACTCCCAGCATTTCTTACTATTGGCCAAGGTGGCTGGGGCTGATGGGAGCTGTGCTCCAAGACATCTGAAGGACTCCAAGCTGGGGAAGGCTGGTGTGTATGATGCAGACCTAGACAAGCCACTGATCCTAATATGGGCTGACAAAGGCCATTATGGATTAGGGCATGTGACTTTTCAGCACCTCAAGTGTGTTGTACACCTGAGAGGTATTAATTAAATGGCAGAGAAAAACAATGTTTGGTCCAAAGCTTCCACAGTATCCATGTCATTAACTGCATTGTGTGCTGTCTGTTGAACCTTTATTTTTCATTCAGACTCCATAGAGGGAATTGGTAACACAACCATTTATAAAACAGAGTTCCATACAACTCTCTGGGAGTGTGTTAAACACAGATCTTTAGCAGATTTTCAGTAATGTAAGGGAAGAAAGAAAATGGCTGACAGTGGTCTGGTGTCAGGCTTTATTTAAAGGATCATTGCATCATTAGTTCACAGTGCCTGAGTACAACACATAAGATTGGAAGGCAATCTTTGTTCAGAATGAACCCACCTTCTGGCCATGAAAATTGACTACTCTGTGGAACTTAATCTCCAGAGAAGGCCTGTGCAGCCTTTGTTCATTTTTAGATAGTTGATTCTTTTCTTTGTTTGATAGGAACATTATTTCTTTGCTTTCATATGGTCCAACAGCAGTATTAGGAACACATGGCTCTCAAGAAACACTGTTATCATCCTTTCATTTTATTACTTTTTAAAAATTGGGTATTCATTCATTCATTCTTGGTTTACCTAATTGTATTGTCTGCCATATCCTTTTTAATGTTCTGTAAATCACAGAGGTCTTACAGCCTTTATACTAGAAGGCTGGAGAGGAAATGTTTAACAAAGAAAGATGATAAAATATGTAACTCCATACCTATTTCATGGAAGTTATTCCAAATATCATATAAATTAATTTAAAGCTCTGTTTTGGAGAAGAAAAGTATATTGCAACAGTATTGGCTTTACCTGTTTACCAAACATGATGCCAAACTAATCTCTGCATGATAAAGCTTATGTAGGAGGGGAAGCCAGTCCAGTGAAGAACTGGGCAGAGAATCTTTGGCTCCACTCCTCTCCTCTGTCAGCTGATCACCTCCATTCCAGTTTGGAGGCAGTAGTGGTGCTTCTTGTCTAGGAACTATAACTCAATGAGGGCACAACTGAGCTAGCTTCTCCAGATAAGGGGACATGCACGTTCTAGGCAAAAAAAAAAAAAGTAAAGCTGGGAGCTGTACATCCTTTTTTCTGTATAAATATGTATAAGATTGCACCCTAAATATGTTCAATGCATCAGACAACTTAATCTCCAGAGGGTAACTAGTCTGTTGCAGCAAAACAGCTATGCCTCTCCTTTTCATCAAACCCAGGTAA